CTTTGATGCAACTCTGAAAGGCATTCCCAGTACAGCAGGGTCCGTCACCACAGCCTCTTTGATAGCAACCTAACTAGTCACCAGAAACCTCGGCTTGCCCCTAGCTCTCCCTAATTTCATCGTTTGGGCTCTGCTGCCTGGCATTCCTTGGACTTGCTTCCGCCACGTTCCATGTGCTCGTCTGTGCTGATGGCTGTCCATCTCCTGATACCACCTTCTGCATCTGGAAACAGACCTCAGATGGCCTCACGGTTTGCCTCCCTCCTTGGGTGACAAATGCAGGCCAGATGGCTGTGATCCTGAGCCTCTGCTGGGTGCTTGATTGACACAGAGACGGGTCATCTAAAGGCCGTTTCCCAATTTGCCGAATCTTCCACTCTCTTTTTTTTTTTTGCGGTACGCGGCCCTCTCACTGTTGTGGCCTCTCCCATTGTGGAGCACAGGCTCCGGACGCGCAGGCTCAGTGGCCATGGCTCACGGGCCCAGCCGCTCCGCGGCATGTGGAATATTCCCGGACCGGGGCACGAACCCGTGTCCCCTGCATCGGCAGGAGGACTCTCAACCACTGCGCCACCAGGGAAGCCCCGAATCTTCCACTCTTTGAAGACAATGCAGCTCAGAGGTTTGGCAGCTGAGGCTGGGAGAAGGAGGGGTGGGCCAGTGGCAAAGTCGAATGGCTTCTAAGGGAGGGGGATCTGGCCAACTGAAGATGGAAGAGCAACAGTGCGAAAAAGGAGAAATGAAAGATGCTTAAAGGGAAACCGATACGACATCTGAGGGTGCAGCTCTGAACGTGTCCTCCAGGAGGGCTGGGAAATCAGATGGTCTGGGTGTGCACCAAGGCTGCCCTGCTCACGGCTTAGATCTGGGCAGCTCTCAGCTCCCTCATTCACAAGATGGGGATCACGACTTGCTTCCCTCATAGGGTTATTGGAAGAATTAAATGAAATCATCGAAGTAAAGCATTCAGAACAGTGCCAGCCAATAAATGTTACTTTCATCATTATTATTCTTGTATATTAAAATACAAATATTTTTAAGCCACCTAATTTATTTTATTTTTAAAATGAAAATTGTACATATTTAAAGTGTACACCATGATGACTTGATATACATATACATATAGTGAAATGAAATTGTGGTATAAATTATACAATGGAGTACTACTCATCCTTGAAAAAGAAAGATGTCCTGCCATTTGCAACAAGATGGATGAACGTGGAGGCCATTATGCCAATTGAAATAAGCCACACAGAAGGCTACAAAATGCAAGATCACACACTCATTATATACGGAATCTAAAAAAGTCGTATCCTACCTAAATTCTGAGATTGTAAGAAGAGGCTTAAATACTACTGATTGACTAGTGGAACATTTCTCTCTCTTATTATGAGATTTATAAACTAAAACTACTATTCATATCATATTGGTCAAAATCAGTTTGCTATGGCAGGCAACACCACCCTAGTCCCTTACAGTTTACTTTCTTCCTTTTGCTCTTTGTAAATTTCTGGTGACAACATCTGCCTGTTACTGTCCACTTCTCTGGTACACATGGATGTGGAATTTAAAATTGTGTCCTTTAAAATGTAACATGTAAATTTCATCAAAAATGATAGCAAATAAAAACAACATGCAATACTTACTAACCTTTTGTAAGAGTCATTAAATTATAACAATAATACCATCTGTAGTAAAGGCTATCAGATTTGGGAAGAATCATTAAAATTTACAGATTAACCTTAAACTTCTTTTGTTTTCCTATTATGGTGTCTTTTAGTTAACAGGCTCATTATTTTCCAAATGTAAGTTAGTTATTAACCTCAAGGCCAGTCTGAATTTCTATTTTTCTCTCTGCTATTCATCCACTCTCCCTGAGCTGTTAATGGGCATTGAAATGCCTAAAATATGTAAAGGGAAAACAGAAGTAGAAAAAAAAGAGCCTCAGAAGCGAATGAGCAAATAGATCCAGAATAATTGGGAGTTGGATGCAGTATTATGTATTATTTTCTATGGGTAATAAGTGGATTTTAGAAATACTTAAAACACATAGAGGCACTATATATAAAAATGTATAAATTGAAGTCTACATTTATTTGATAGCTACTTCAGTTTTCTTTTTCTATAAAAAGTGAATTTCTGTTTTCCCAACATCTAACCATGAGGTAAATCAGAGGTCAAGGTTCTGGGCTACTGTACGGAGCAGGGAGTCAGGAGTCATGGTCTCTTGCGGGTGGGCAGCCAACAAAGCTACTTCAACAGGACAGCAGTCGGCCTCCTGTCGCTTGGGGGACTCAGAACCAATTCAGACAGGTATCAACCAGGGAAAAGCAATTCCCTTCTAACCAAAGAGAACTGCACTTGTACGAGATGAGGTAGAAAATGCATGGTTGGAGACCTTTCCAATTTGTGGTTTGGAAGAGAACAGGACTTCTGTTTCTATTTGTCTGACCTCTGAGACATCTTTGCAGTAACTGAAGAGAGTGTGATGGATAGTGCTGACTCTAGGAGTCTTTGAAAAATGCTTCCCCTCTGGCCAAACACACAAGTAGAATTCATTTTCCATATTCAGAATCTGGATTGTCTGACTTTTATATTTAGATGTGCTCAGCCAACCGTAAGGACCTCACAGCACGGAAGCGATGCTTTCTGAAGCCCACGTTGGAAGGGTAAGGACCCGCTGTGGCAATACATGCGTTTCCAGTGCGTGTGGACCCAGGGCGAGGGTTGGAGCTGTGTGCACCCCCGGGGATGCTATGCTGTGAGTTTGCAGGGGCTCCGGTATGGGCTGAATGGCATCCCGACAAATTCCATGTGCTGAAGTCCCGGCCCTCAGTCCCTGAGAATTCAGAGACAGGGTCTTGAAAGAGATAATGAAGTTAAAATGAGGTCATCTGAGTGGGTTCTAATCCAATATGACTGGTGTCCTTATAAGAGGAGGAAATCTGGACACAGACATGCACAGAGGGAAGAAGTGGAGACACAGGGAGAAGGTGGCCGTCTGTGACCCAAGGAGATCTCAGACTTGTAGCCTCCGGAACTGTGAGAAAATAAGTTTCTGTTGTTTAAGCCACCCAGTCTGTGGTACTTTGTTATGGCAGCCCTGGAGCCTAATACAGTTCTATTCGTAGTAGGAGCTGTCAAACCTCATTAGACAGTCCACGTCTACCCTCGGTGAAGGCTAGTCCCCGGCACCGAGACCAGGAGGAATGGCACCTGAGGAGAGGGGTTTGGCGGCCACCAGTTAGACCAAGGGCCCCCAGAGTGAGGGAGAGGAAAAGGGCAGTGTCTGAGAGGAGGACCTGATTTTTTAATAGAAAATCCTCTTCTGCCTTTTTATCACAAAAGCTTTACATGTTCATTGCAGAAATAATAGGAAATACAGATGAACAACATGAAGAAACAAAATATAACTCTGATCTTACCTCTTGGAGGTAACTGTTCATTCATTGTTATAAATCTTTCCAGAACTTTTACTATAAATATATGAATTTACACACACATCCACACACAGCCAAGATGGAATAATTTACTTTTTGTGATCCTTTATCTATTTCAATAATTTTAGACTTATAGCATCTTTTCTAACGTCTGCTACTTCATTATATCGACTGTATCCTAGAAATGGCGTTGGTGGGTGGGAGGCGTCCAAGCTTAGGCAGATGTAAAGGCCTCTTGATATCTATTGCCAACTTGCCTTCCAGAAATCATGTGTCCATTTATATCTGGCAAGTCTATTTTGAGTGCTACACAAGCCTTGTAACTGCTAAGTCTTGACTCAGCTGTTCATGGGCTTTCAGCCAATTCCTAGGGAGGAGAGTGCGGAGACCAGAGGACACTGAGATCTGGGCCGCCAGTGACTCGGGACACTGGGGGCTTGGTGTAGGGCCGGGAGGGGTGTCCGGTGCTGGGGGGAGCACTTCCCACCTTAGCACAGCGGCAGGAGGAGGGCAGCTGGCGGGTCAAGTGTGCAGCCCAGATGGCAGCTGCGAGCTCCGCCAGGAGGGCCTGTGCCGGGTCAGCCACTGGGCGCTGCTGGGAGAGCCCGACGTTCCCGGGTGTGAAGTGTGAGGAGGGAACTCCGGGGGCATCCCCGAGAGTGGGGGGCGGCCCCACGAGCTCTGAATGGGCTGGGAGGGCCGGGGGCCGAGGGAGCCTGAGGTCACTGTGGGCCCGGGTTGTTAATTTTATCCCGCTGCCTGGGAGCACGCAGGTTCTGCTCGGAAGTGCACACAGCGGGGCTGACGGCCTTTGCGGGCTTTTCCGTGTTAATGGAAGATGCGATTTGACTTTGGTTCTTTGCCCAGGATAAGAGATCCTGGGGGGTGTTCTTAAAAGGAAAGCCAAGCTAATCTTAAATGAAAAGCAAAATGTTTTACTTCATAAACCTTGAAATTATATGGCACTCAATAAAACGTGTTGGCAAGTAAGCTTCTGCCACAAAATCTGATAAATAAAATAGGTTAATGCCTCTCAGAAGAAGAACCTGAATTTCACTTATCATTAGATAAGAACTTTCAGTGCGAACCTCTCTAACAAAGATGAGCAATGGTCTCTGATTTAGGGGAGAACAGAGCCTAGCAGAAAAGGAACCGCATCCTCACTGGGTCCAGAAAGGCTCCGGCCCCTTCTCCCTGTGTCTCAAGGTTCCCGAGCACCTGGCCATCTTCGGGCCTTTGCAGGTCAGACACGTCCTGTGCGTCTGAAGCACAGTCCTGTTGACCTGATACGCACCTCGCCTGAGAAATAACGATATGCTGGAGATAAAGAATTAACAACACTGTGTCTGACTTCCCTGAAACATAGACTTAGCTGTCAAAGTTGCTTCCAAAAGTAAACTTCTGTACACTCGCCCAAAGCAGGGAATAAATTTCCAAGAAAACAAACAGTTCTTCCCCTGGGGTTGAATCCTTCCTTCTGCGATTGGCACCGGAGAGAATTAACCACTCATCATCTCGAGCGTACAGTGAAACGGTTACGGAGAAAAGGGACGGGCTTACCATCTGCCACCGGCTTGGGCTGGGAGCTCTTGAGCCGCAGCGAGGGCCGGAAGCGGGTGCGGTCGTTGAAGCTCCAGCTCTTCTGCACTTTGGTGGGGCTGCCTTCGGTGGTGATGTCCGTGCTGGGGGACCGCCTGTCGCCCAGCGAGGCCTGCCTGCTCTTGACGCTCTGGCCCCGCGGGCTCGCCATGCGTACGCGCTCCTTGAAGCTGAGCTTCTGGCTGCGGGCGGAGCACAGGGCAGTGTTAGCACGTTTCGGGCAGTGCCGTCCACCCACGTGGGTAAATGCTCGGATGAAACTGCATACGACCATGTACTTCAATACACAGAATGTTCTTAGCAAGTAGGGGCACCGCGATACAGTTTTCCCTTATTGCAAATTTAAGCTTTATTGAACCTCTCTGTTTGCATTCAAGTCCGTCTCATTCCACAGTTTTGCACACCCTTCCTGGATTCAACGAAGCCTGAGACCAAGCACAGCGGTTTGTGCACAATGACACTGGAAAGACCAGAGAACTGGTTTGGTGTTCGCCTTAGAAACAGATTTTAGATTTAACCTCAACTTTTGAGACCTAAAAAAAAAGGTTTTGTTTTTTGTTTTTTTCTGCGGGGGGGGGGCATATCTCTTTGTAATTTCTAAAACATTTGTACGGGAAAATGGGGATGACAGTTACACATGCACATGTATCTACAGGCTGCATGCATTTTATACTCCAGGCAAGATTACGATTTCCGGATCCATGCAGTCTCAGAGCGGCTGGCGGCACTGCAAACAATATTAAACATACGACACTTAACACCACGTTCATTCCGGTGAGACAAAAACCACACAAGGTAGAACGAACGCAGCTTATAATGAACGAGATGACTGACTGATGGAATGCGATGTTGTGTTCACCAGCAGTTTCCTGATATTCGACAGGTTATTGATTTGCTTGGCAGCTCCTGGTAAATTATATTTGTTCACGTTCAGTTCTCAGACACCAGCTAGGCCTGAACTGAGGTCGGTTGATAAAGGAAGTGTTAACAAGGCAGCAAAACACAGAGTGCACCTCCGGGCCCTCCTGAGCACGGGTCGGGCGTGAAGGGCCGGGAAGGGCAGACTGCAATCAGAGACCTGGATTTGGAGGCCTGGCCTCTAGCTTGGAGATAAAAATAGCAACATAGCTGAGGGACTTTTGTGGGCATCAGATGAACTGTATGAAGCTTTGTGGACCCAGTCTGTTTGTGTTCTTGTTCATTTATAAACTACTGTGCTATTCATTAGAAAGTGACGCCATGGGGGGAGGGATAAATTGGGATATTACCATACACACACTACTATATGTGGAGCCCTATGTCAAGGACACCCTACATCAAGGACACAGGACAAAAACTCCAGAATTAACCGAGCCCCCATAGCAACTGTTGCCACGGTCTCTCCTAATCTAAACTGGACAGCACCCACCCCACCCCGACTCCATACTAGGCAAAATATTCACCATGTAGTAACCTTGTATCCTCCTGACCAATCACCTAATGCCATCCTGCCAGCAGGGATTTTCTTTGTCCTGAGGCTATAAAGGTTGGCTACTAGCCCACAGGTCGGCTCTCCCTGGTCTCTCAGGGAGTGGGCCCGCGGGATTCGCAGCACCCCTCACCATCTCTGCTGTTTGTTCTCAATAAACTCACTCTTTTCTAAAATTCTTCAGGTCTGGACATTCTTCTTCCAACCCACGCTCGGACCACGACATTTTGGTGGCCTGTACGGGGACATCTCCTCCCCCACCTCCTCTCCTCATTCCTTGGGACCTCTGTGAACAGGCAAGCTTCCGTGAAAGCAACAGAGGAACTCTGGCCAGGGCCACACCCTGGTGTGTTCCGAAGGCTCCACGGCTCGCTTTGCCCCAGTAACTGCCGCCCAGAACGGGTGAGGGTCCCTCTGTCTTCCTCCTGACTGCGGACTAGGCCGATTGATATTATGCGGGCACAGGTCAGGCATTTAAAAGCCATTAGGGCGCTTGCCGCTTTAAGACTCCCGTGAAAGGATAAGGGGGTCAGGGAACAGACCAGGCTGTTAGCGCATCTGTCCCCAGCAAGACAACTTCCGTGCACCGTGAGGCACGTATTGGTTCAAGCAGAACGCTGAGCCCCGTCCCCTTGGCCGCTGCCTTCCCGGCAGGACTACGAGGCCGATTCCTCAGCCTGTCTTCTCTGTTACACTTTCACCTTTTTCTCCGTCCAGATTGACTTACAGGAGCCTAAGTGTTGCCTCTGAGCCATCCCGGGAGTGCTTTTCACATTTCAGGGCATCGCCAAGCGGTGAGTCACCCGGTGGGTCCCGGGAATCTCTCTCTCTTTTCTTTCTTCCCTGCCCGAGTCGCATGGTGCCTCAGTCGCACGCTCAGGGGTCACCTCTCACGGTCAGACGCGATTGTTGGGACAGTCGGCCCATTCTGTGCCTTAGTCACATGGAGAGATCACCGGGAAAAAGGGGACGCCTCTCTGTCAGCTGGTGACTCTCAGTACCCCCTTTCTACGGCGTACAGGCTAAGAATGGGTTCTGCTATGTCTCGGGAGCCTCCCTCAGACTCACCCGTCAGCTGTATCCTCAGAAACGGGAAAAATTTGACCCTGAAAATCTCAAATAGAAGAGGCTCATTTTCTTTTGTAACACGGCTTGGCCCCAGTATAAACTGGGGGACCGAGAACAGTGGCCTCCTAATGGCACACTAAATTATAACACGATCCTCCAACTTGATCTCTTTTGGCAGAAACAAGGAGAGGACTCAGAGGTTCCTTACATCCAGACCTTTATGGCCCATAGTCAGCATCCGGAGCTGAGGGACTCATGCCGCACGTGTCTTTCTGTTGCCGCCTTATCCCCCCCCCCCCCCCCCACCGTCTCCCTCTCCAGCAGATCTCTTAGATGACCCTCTACTCGACCTCTCCTGTCCCCCGCCCCATGAACCCCCTGCTTCAGCCCCCGACTCCATCTCAACCCACAGCTCCCCATCAGCCACCCCCTTATCAGGGCGAAAGCCCCTCTCCCCTCCCCACACAAGATCCAGGCCTGCCCAATGCCAGGAAGTAGCAAATGGAGACATGGGCACTATTAGAGTCCATGTTCCCTTTCCCATCTCTGACATTTCCCAAATTCAAAACAAGTTAGGTTCCTTCAGTCAGGATGGCCACAGTATTCTTTAGACTCCAGAGAAAACTGGTTAAGATAAAAATTTTTTGAGATTGCAAAAGGGGTTTCTTTTTGCATGTGCAGTTAGAAAAGCTAGTCTGGGGCTTCCCTGGTGGCACAGTGGTTGAGAGTCCGCCTGCCAATGCAGGGCACATGGGTTCGTGCCCCGGTCCGGGAAGATCCCACATGCCACGGAGCGGCTGGGCCCGTGAGCCATGGCCGCTGAGCCTGTGCGTCCGGAGCCTGTGCTCTGCAACGGGAGACGCCACAACAGTGAGAGGCCCGCATACCACAAAAAAAAAAAAAAAAAAAAAAAAA